TGGAAAATCAAGATCCCACCATCTCTGTAGAGCACTTCAAGCCCCAAGAAATAATGCAGTCTTCCTAAATCTTTGATTTTGAACTGCTCATGTAGGAAGGTTTTCAACATTTGAATTTTAGCAAGGTCATTTCCTGTCAGCATCATCTACATAGGCTCCCACAAATACCACACAATCAGTTGTCTTCTTGTAGAATAAGGAGTAATCATGCATGGAGTGATTGTAACCTCTGGAGTATAGGGCCTCAGTGAGCTTAGAATACTACTGTCTGCTGGCTTGCTTTAAGCCATAAAGAGATTTATTCAATCTGCAGACTAGTTCAGGAGAGGAGACTGCAAGGCCTTGGGGCAGATTCATATAGACCTCCTCATGCAAATCTCCATGAAGAAAGGCATTGTTCACATCCAATTGAAAGAGCTCCCATTTCTTCTTGGCAACAGTAGCAATTAAGGCTCTAACAATGGTCATCTTCACTACTGGAGAAAAGGTTTCTGTATAGTCCACTCCAGTGTATATCCTTTCAGAACCAATCTATCCTTATATCTATCTACACTTCCATCTGCTTTATGTTTGATCTTGTATACCCACTTGCAGCCTATAACTTGTTTTCCAGCAGGTAATGTCCAAGTGTTGTTTGCATGAAGTGCTTCAAATTCTTGAGTCATGGCCTGTTGCCAGGCAGGATTGACTGTTACTTCTTCATAAGACAAAGGCTCCCTGTCATTACAAATGCTTCTCACAACCTGCTGGCTATCGAGATTCAGGACATCAAGAGTAATGTGATTGCATTGGGTAAAAAGAGCATTGAGAGAAAAAGGTGAGTTAGTCTGAGTGACTTCAACATTTTGAGGTTATTTGAGATTGGGAATAGAGCATACATATTTAGACAGATAAGATGGGGTCTTAGATACTCTACTGGATACTCTTTGATTGGGTTTTAGGATGGAAGATAGAGGCCTGATCAACTCTTGAGGTAATTGGAGATATTGCTTGTGGTGGACTGGTGTTAAGGATAGAGGATGAGTGTATGGTATGATTAGGTGACATTGGAATGTGGGAGTGCATTATGTGATCAGGTGACCTTGAGATAGGTGCAACAGAAGTGTCTCTTTGAGGAGTTAAGACACTATAAGTAAGGTAAGTAGGGAAAACATCAGAATGGTCATGATGTGCAACATCATGAGGCAGGGAATAGGAAGAATTTGGTACTGATGGAAGTGTAAAAGGAAACATGGACTCATGAAAGACGACATCTCGAGACACACAGATTTTCTTGGTAGCTAGGCTCAACACTTTATATCCTTTAACACCAAAAGAATATCCTACAAAGACATGTGGAGAAGCTCTTGGTTCAAACTTATCTCTGTGAGGTTTAGGAACAGCTGGACAGCACAAGCAACCAAAACTTCTTAAGTGTAAGTAGTTTGGTTTCTTTCCATACAGCAATTCAAAAGGACATTTGTTTTTCAAAGGTACAGTAGGCAATCGATTGATGAGGAAGGTTGCTGTAAGTACACATTCTCCCCAATATCTCAAGGGGAGTTTGGCTTGAAATAGTAAAGCTTTGGCAGTTTCTAATAGGTATTTGTGTTTTTTTCCACCATGCCATTTTATTGGGGTATATAAGGGCAAGTTCTTTGATGTTCAATTCCTTTGGACTGGAAGAATAAGGTGGCTTCACTGCTAGTAAATTCCATACCATTATCTGATCTGATACACTTTACACTGGTAGTAAATTGTGTCTCAACCATGGATATAAAGCTTCTGAGAGTGTGTAATGCATTGCTCTTTCAACTGAGCAGATGAGTCCAAGTGGATCTACTAAAGTCATCTACTATAGTGAGAAAGTATTTAAAATTATCATGAGTGGGTACATGATAAGGTCCCCACAGGTCTACATGTAAGAGATCAAATATAGCAGTGGTGTTTGTGGTTTTTAAGGGAAAGGGAAGTCTGGTTTGCCTGGCCATAGGACATATAGAGCAAAGAAAAGGTTGTTTTGGTGCAAATGTCACTGGTATATTAGATATCACTTTCATCTTTCCAAAAGGTACATGCCCAAGCCTGTAGTGCCATAATAGATTCATATCACTTGCATCAATTGAAAAAGAGTCAGAACTATAACCCTTGTTTGTTTTGTTGCAGGTGAAATCATTTGCAATAGGAGATAGAGACATAGTATTTACAGCTGAACATGGGAGACAGAAATGGGAAGGACACTGAGTATTTAGAGATGGGCAAGACTGACAAGAATGAGAAAAACAATGTGTTGTAGTATCATGGCTGTTTTTAATGGAGAGAAAGGGAGTGGCACTCTTCTTTGCTGCAGCAATACTTTCTTTATTCAAGCAGTCTGAGCAGAGAAGATACAACCTATCATGAACTTTACCAATCTCCAGAGGCCTCTTCAGAGAAGGGGCCTGCAAAAGACATCATGTATTTGAGAAAGAAGCTAGACATTTGAGATGTGTTGTTAATGAGCTGATAGAAATAAGATTGTATTTGAAAGTGGGAACAAAGAGGACTTTAATAGAATTATTTCAGGTGTAAGAGTCACAGTTCCTACTTCTGTGACTTTGACTTTGTAACCATTTGGTAATTTCACAAGTAAAGGATAAGGTAGAGAAATTATGTTCTGTAGGTGTTTCTTGTTAAAAGTCATATGGTGTAAGCTCCTGAGTCCAGAATCCATGAGCATTTGCATGAGAGTTTATCAAAGTTTATAGAAGAAGTGCATGTTACAATACTTGCAAAATTTTCTGCAAAGTTTACCGTTCCATTGGCTGGATTTGTGTTACTTGAACTATCTTCTGCACCAACAGAGAGGGATCTCAACACACCTCTCCTCCATGAACGATATCCTAGTCCATCAAAAGGTACTGAAACTAAAACTAGCCCAGGACTGTTAGAGGGATGAATGTAAAGTGGACTACTTACATCGATTGTCGATTGGATCTCTGTAGTTATCACATTTGTAGTGTTTGGATCGTCTACCGCCATGATTGCTTTTGCTCAAAGCAGAAAATGAATAAGAAGAAACGCCGATTGAACAAGAAGATGAAGTTGCAGAAAATCTCAATTGAATGAATGAAACCTCGATTTGATCGCTCTGAAATTGAACCCTAGCTTTGAGCACGAAGAAGACAGTAGTCTGCGAAATTCAACTGTGTGGATCGTTTCATCGCGAGATCTTGCTCTGATACCATGTCAAGCTCAGGGATTACAAGCTTAGAAAGCTTCAAAACTACAGTGGAGGAAGCGATTAGAAGCTTCCAGAAGATCGAATTTGGAGAGTAGATAAGTGGAGTCTCTTAATTGAGGAAATGAAACTCTAATGCAATTATGCAAGTAGTTAAGTTCTTATATACAATTGGAGTACTAGTCTAACTACTTGGAAATGACATCTAAGCACTAATTACTCTAACCACTAACTAATAAGAGACGGAGCTACAACAATAACTAACTAGTAGAATAAAATACAGTACATAGATACACAGTGCTATAATCTTAATAAATATTGAAGATGGTGTTTTGGAGTTTGGTTCTTTCCAAATTCGTGAAGTTTGGTAAGGATTTAAGGGATTTGGAGCATGGATTCGTTTAGAGGAAGGAGAGACGAATACTGTGGTATAAGATTGATGAGGTAAATGGAGGATTTAAGGGATTTAGAGCATGGATTCGTTTGGAGGAAGGAGAGACGAATACTGTGGTATAAGATTGATGAGGTAAATGGAAGTTGTCGACCAGTGAAAGCGATTTCCGGTCAGTAGAGAATGATGGAAGAAGGGAGGGGAAATTAGTATATAGTAAATTTAAAGACTAGGATTAATTTTGGTTTAGTATCTATCAAAGGTGAAAAAACCCTTAAATAAAAAAAAATTAAAAAAAAAATTGTGGGAGAGTTGCGTGTAGTATTGAACCCACAAATTCTATCTGTATTGAGTATAGCTCCTTGTTTTGCCTATTTAATTTTTATATTATGTTCTACTTCTTAAGACAATACAATATCTTTTATTTTTGCACAAAATATATTTGAGATATTAAATAAATATATATCCACTATCTTTATGTGCTGAACATAAATATATTTTCGAATTAAATATCAAATTTTATAGTGCTAAAATACTACAACTAAATATATACTGAACAACAAAACAAAACGTAAAATTAGAAATAATTAAACATGTTAAATGAATAAGTCTATAAATAAATAGATTCACTAAACTACAAAGTAAGAAAAAATTAATAGATTCACAATACTGTGTAAAGAAATGAAAAAATTCATGTTTAATTAAATTAAATTATTAAAAATGTATTATTTTAAAATTAAAAAAGAAGACTGTAATCCTTTCAAAAGGCTTCAATACTCGATGTAATATTTCGATACTAAAAAATTGGTCGTTGTGATTTTAAAGCAAGACATACATCCGCGCTATGTGGAAATTGTTGGGTTTCTTTATCTAATTTAATAAAGATGTGTGAATGGAAAATTGAGGGAAAAGATTTGGACGGAAATCATTTACTAAGGCAGTTTGTCCCTCATCGGAAAATGAAAAGAAAATGCTCATATAGAAAAGCACACATTCTAACTCTTAAAAGACTAGAGAAGAAGTGGTGCCTCGCGCCGTTGTCATCGCTAACCTACCTTCTGTTGAGATCGACATTGCCACTATTACAGAATGAATAATTGTTCCGTTCTATCCGAAATGTATAGCAAAGCTTTACCCCATCTTGTTTGGATCCAGTAACTTCGAATTACAAATTCAACTCAAAATATGATCAAACTTTTTCAATTTTTTGAATTAATGTACACCTCTTACTTAAACCTTGTAATACCCACCAAAGATACGTCCCTAAATAAATGAAGGTCCTAACATCTCAGCTTTGCCCTGATCACAGAGCTTAGAAACCCAACATTCACTGAGCTGTTTAGATTTGAAAAATTCGTTGACTCAAAATCCCTCTGTTCAAGCGCAAAATTTGATTGGGAAGGTAAACCATGCATGCAACTTCTGAAGCTTTTTTTACCTCAAATCAAGAAGGTTAACAATGTTGAGGAAACATGGAAGGAAAAAAGTTACTAAAACTGGTAAAAACTTTTATTTACACAAATGTTAGAAGGAACTAACAGATGCTGATCTCCTGCAAAATCCAGCTTTAGAACGAGAACCTTTTAACACTTCTGCATATTTCACTAAGTCGGTTTTCTGGACTTTTTCTGAGTCATCTTTAGTTATATTTTCTTGAGGTGAATCAGTCAGACGATTTGAGATATAATCCAGTCTTCCTGAACCTGACGACGAACCCCCATCACTATTTCTCGTACTATCTATCGAGTAGTTATAGTTGTTTTCTCCTTTGTCGCTCCTTGAACTTTGAGACGCCGAATGTAACTCCAGAAATTGTTTGGATGAACCAGAACTGTACCCTGGAGAAAAACTAGAATGTCTTGACACATTATCTTCAACATTGTGCACCATGTCCATAGAAGAACTCCGACTAAGACGGCGATCCTTTCCCCGCACTAATCTCATAAGCTTACTAAACACCTTCTTTTTGCCTGAAGTCTTACGGGGTGATGAATTATCAGTAGAAGTGTCATCAAATTCACCAGAGTCTGTAAAAAAGGATGTTCGAGACGATGACCAATCCGAATCAAAATCAGTAACACTGATCTCCCTTTCCCCCTGACTTTCTTTATTTGCATATTCAAGAATTAGTTGCTTGGCTTTCTCCTCTGACTTGGGGCTTAATGTTTTACTGAGGTCTCTTGCAATTGTTTTTCCTGCAACAGGCTGTAAGTTCCTCAGCTCGTACCGCAAGCAAGCGTTTATCCATCGGAGATAGACTAGTTCCTCAGCATCATTGCAGCGATCTGCTTTAAGCCGCTCAACTTCCTTCGCTAAATCTTCATTTTGCTTTTTCAACCCTAGAGTTTCTTCCTTCAGTGCTTCTGTCTGCGGCAAGAATCATTTAATAAGTACACGCTAACTAGACATATATAGAGAAAAATGAAATGTAACATGAACAAAAGAATTACTTCTTCATCTTCCAACACAGAAGCAGCAATGATTTGAACAGATTCTAATCTATGAGCCAGTTCTGAATTTTCTTTTCTTAAACTGTGATTAGATTTCTTCAACTCATCAGCCTGATTCTCCAAGTCTTTCAGTTTTCGGAGCTTTAACTGAACATCCGATTCAGCTTCAACAGCCTTCTTTTCTTCGTCGTGCAACTTCATAACTTTTTCTTGAAGGGTTAAAATCTGTTCCTTACTGTGATCAGCTTCTGATCTCAGTTTCTTTTTGAGTTGCTTTATCTTGACTTTTGCAGCATCGAGCTCAGAAACAACTTTTGCATAATCGGCCACTTGAGCCTCTAACCTCATCTTATCTGCGGTCAATGACTCAATCTTGAGACCAAAAAGCTTGGCCTCCATATTGTTTATTTTTAGTTGGTTCTGAAGCTCCATGATAGCAGTTTCTTGCTCCTTAAGACCATAATACTCTAGCAATTGGATTTCTAGAGTCCTCTCCCTCTCTTCGAGAGTTTTAACAATATTTTTCAGGCTCTTAATCTCTTGCTCATGGTTAACCATTTCAACAATTCTATATTCTCTAGGTGAATCTTCATACTGCAACAGCGTTTCAATGTCCCTCTTTGAGGTAGATAAACGGAGTTCCTTTACAAGTTCATTGAACTCTGGCAAGAGAAATCCATCTCTATTGCTGTTGAACATACCACTGCTAGATGGAAGAGCTGTAGAATTCTCTATAATGTGTTTGCAGATGTGGAGGTCCTCCTGCAAGAGAAGCAAAAAAGTTATTACCTCGCAAATAGGACAACAATCATCATATGTTATAGGAACAAATTAAAGATTCACTCTAACTCCGCTCATCGCAGTTTCTTTTCTTTTAGTCGATTAGCAACTAGCGAGTTTGTTAATTCATGTTTTTAGATCACCAAAAAAGTGAAATGCATTAAGTACATCTAAAAAGGCACAGCAGAGGGGAAAGTTTTGAAAATAAAAGGAATTTCTTTTGACGAGAAATTTCAAAGTTAAACAAAACAAATACCAATGATATCAACGCAATAATCTAAGATGTTTTTTAACTTTTTTATGCAACTGTAACCGAGAGAAAAATAACAATTAGTAATCCCCATTAGAATTTTGATCTCCAGGTTCTCAAAGGTTCTCAAATAAGAGATAAAAGTCATGGGTGCAAAGTGCAAACACATGTCATGCATCTATTGATTTGGCGTAAACACCATATGCTATAAATTTTACGGGAAAAAGACCGCCCTACTTTTTCGCCTAAAGGGAAGAAAGTTTAAATAAGGCAAAACCATGAGTTTATTGGTAATCATGGTTAATAACTATCAGGAAGCTTAACTATTACATCTATAATCAATCACTAACACATATTGTTCAATTGCCACTAATCTAACTATTCAACTTTTGCAATTTCTCAACAACTACTACATTCTCTCTTAGTTATTGCCTAAAATTTCATGGATGTCTAAGCTCAAACAACTTAAGATGCTTGAATAATAAAAGAAACAGGTGATAATCCAGCGATCTTACGTGTTTGTCTGACACAGTAGAAACTGATTTGCGGGAGGAAGGTGATATTGGAGTTGCATGGGAGGCGTGATCATCATTTGTGAGCTCACCATTTTCACCACCTGTAACTCAACCCACAAAAATCAAAATAATTAGAAAGAAACTCCCAAAAAAAAGAATGGAACAGAAATATCAAAGCAGCACCTAAAAGTGGTGCTCTAAATTAACCTGTTGAGCAAGGAGGTGAAAATAAATTGGAGGGCTTGATTCTCTTGGTTCTAAAAATGGTATAGATAACCCCACCAAGAGATAGAACCAAAACAGCCCCAATTTTCAAGAGCACGGGCCTTATGTTCCTATTGTCTCTCACCATTATTAATTTGTATCATGAGAAAGATCATATGTTTCCCTCATTGGTCCTCTAAATCGCCCAAAACACAAGGAAGAATCAAAATTCCCTGTTAAAACAAGAAATTGAGGGGCCCCAAATGAAAGAGGGAGGGGGATTAGCTGATGAAAATGGGATTATTGTTCTGGGCGTTGCAGATTAAACAGGGATAAAGTTTTAGAGTACGTAAAATATGATGTGGATTGTCTGGTTACAGTTTATATGTTTAGGTTCCGTCTCTGTTTCTTGTTTCACTGCATGACCAACTTTTCAATATTCAACCGTACAAGTTTTGTACTAATCCAAAAGGAAAATTAGCTATACTTACTGTTTGACCATAAAAATATGTATCTTGGTTCAAATAATTAAAGTTATGTATTTAGAAGTTAAGCTTAGTTAATAATAATATTTTTAGATGGAACTTTCAAGGGTGCAATAAACAATTGATGGGTTCGGTCAGATAGCAGCCATAATTGTTCTAAAAAAACATGAGCAATAATGTAGCATTTAATAGTAATGAATATCAATAAATAGTATTTAAGTAAATAGTATGAATGATTCACCCAATAAAGGATGAAATAGATGGAGGCTCTACCTGACAATGATGAATGACAGACAAATCTTTGAATATTCGAGGTATTCTCGAATCTGATGGAAAATATGGAATAGTATAAACAAGAATCTTGATGAAAATGTGATGTTTGTATGTTAGCAAGAGAGAAAGAATCTTTCAGTCAAAGTGAGTTCTTACAAGTGAATCTTACATGCCCCACATCATTATCTCTTTTTCTATTTATATGAGACATATTCATAGGGAGCTCTAATAGTACAAGTGCAGAGAATATCCGCTACAATATTCCCTTTAATATCTTATTTCGAAAACTAGACGTTACAACTTCATCAACGGTGCTCGACCTTGATGCTTATTAACATCTCGACCACGGCTCTCATCGACTCTTCGACTATGAGTCTTGTTGCTTCTTGGTCCACCTCGACTAACGACGACTCAGAGAACTCTTTCTTCAGTATCATCTTACCTTAAATATTCTGGGGCAAATTTCAACACATACAGCTAGTCCCTCCACTTATTGAGGTCGGCCTCAGGCGGGCGTGATGAGCGAATTTTGCTCATTGCGGTCGAAATGATTGGACGACCTGATCGAGTTGTATTAATTGAGGCAAACTGGCAACGTGGCCCTTCGTGAGCCGCAAATTTTTGAGTTGTGATGTCCACGAATCAAGCTGATGTCACGACCTCATGCGTCATCATGACGCGTCCCCGATGCGTTGCTTCGTTTTGCGTAGAACTCTTGATTAGTCCTGCCGCTTCGATTTTGGTGTCAGGTAATGATGAGCCAATTTCTTGGTTCTAATGCCCGAATTCCTATACATAGGGATGTGAGGGTATAATTTCAAACTTTATAGATTTCTTGCATCGAAACCCTATATCTTCTTCTTCATTTTCCATTGTTGTGCATATTTTCCCTCTGTTCTAGCGATCCTTATCATTCTTAATTCTCCGTTGTTTGATAATACCTTCCTCTCTTTCGTTAAAAATGTACCTTCTGGGCCCAACGAGGGAAGTGACCCGGTCCTTCTAGCGATAGTTTTTCCTCCTCACGCGCAGAGCGTTCCTGCTATCGTTGAGGACGGAAACTTCCCGATGGTAAAGGAGATAGTTCTTTGTAACCCCGATACCAGGTCTGATTTCTCAAAATAGCCTGAAGCCGAGCCCGGAACCTTTAAGTCGGCGATGAAGGAGGCTGATTTGTTAGAGCGTAAGGCTAAATACAGCCTTCCTGATCGCGTCGATTTGATCCCTGCTGGGTGAGATGCGGTGCGGGTCCGTCCTAGGTACTGCGCATTCTACGCCTACCCCTTTCAGTTGGCTACACTCTTCCTCTCCTTCCGCTGGCAGAAGAGTGTTGTCGTTTCTACGGTGTTTGCCCGGCTCAGCTCGCGCCGTATGTCTACAAGCTCATAAAGATGCTAACCAAGTTTGCGGAGTTGGCCGAGGCCGAGATCACACTTCGATACTTGATTCACCTATTCGCCCCCAGCTTCTATAGGGGGACGATGCTAAAACTTCGCAACTGAGGAGGCAAGTGACTGGTGGTGAAGATGGACGACAAGTCTAACCGCCAGTTTTGACTCAACTTTTTCTTCGTTAGAACTGAGGACGTGGTGGCCAACGTCGACGGCTTCCTTAAAGCTTAGAATTGCACTCGTAAGTGCCTAACTTCCTTGCATGTAGGTACTTGGTTTATTTTGCTTAGTCGTGGATTTTGACCTCTTGTTCTTTTCTTATGCAGCCTAGACCTCGCCTCATCCTTTGGTCGAGGACATTTCTAGTTGGGTCGGTCGGATCCTTCCTCACATCGCAAGGATTCGTGAGTGGCCGGGCTTCTTCAATAGGTTTGGGAAGGCTCCTCCCTTGACTGGTAAGTTCTTCGTTTTAGCCTCATAGTTATTTCTCTTTTGTGGTTTACTTTCGCTGACTTTCTTTTTGTAATTGCAGACAGTGATTTTGGAGATTAAAAGTGCCCGAAGGGAGGAGAAACGTAAGGAAATATTGAGAGGTTGAAAAATAAAAATATCGAATACCGCGGAAAGTACCAGGAGTTTCGCAGGAGATTTGGTGAGGGCGGCAATTTGCAGGCCCTTCATCATGAATTAAAGGAGAAGGACAACGAGTTGGTGAGAGTCATCGAGAAGTGTAGCGTCCTTGAGAGGACGTTGAGGAATAGGGTAGAAGATCTTGAGGTCAGCAGAGCCGTAGAGGCCCAGTGTGGAGACCTTCAAGTGCAAGTGGTCGAGTTGCACAGGCAATTGGAGGAATGGAGGTCCTTAATGGCGAAGTCGCCAAAAAAATGGAAGAGTTGGAGAAGGCGGGGGCGACGCAGTTAGAGGCTCTGAATAAAGTGGAGTCCCTTGAGGTGGTGATTCGAACTCTCCGTTTTGAGCGGGAGAATGACTTAGCGAGGGTCAGTTTCAAGGAAGACGACTAGATGAAAGGATCGGGGATTGGAAAGAGAGGCCTCTATTCTCCATGATTGAGTGGTTGCCTTAGAGGTCGAGAAGGCCCAATTGCTGGCACAACCGTCCTCTTCCCATACTTCGGACTTTCCTAGTGTTCCTCGGGATTTATATGAGGAGTGGATCCATGCCGAGGCCCAGCTAGATATCTTTTGATATTTGCATGCGGCGGGGTCCGTTTCTGATGAAGCCCTTGAAGGTGTTCGTGTGAAGATCCGCGAAGCGCGACTTGCTTGTGGGTAAGATCCTGCTACACCTGAGGCCGGCGAAGGCGACAATGAAGGTGTGGATCGACTTGAGGAGGCTACATGGTACGACACCGCGTACCCGGAGGGCGAAGGCGATGGTGGCGAAGGGGACCAAGATAGTAAGGGCACCGGTGGCCAAAGCGGTGAAGGAGTAGGAGATCGTGACGGTGGTGCTCAGTAGTTTTTTTGAGGATGAGGCTGCCGGTTTCTCTCGCCGGATTCCGGCAGTGAAGAGACAACTGCCAGATCTGTTTTGTTTTTTAGGGAGAAGAAGAAGGAAATAGAAAAGGAAAAATAAAAAATTTGTTTATTGGTGTCTTCACGCGCCTATATCAGGTGAAACTCACTTTATGTGCCAACTCAGCAAGAAGTGTTTAATTGGAATGAGTTTCGGGTAGTATAAGTGCTCAATAGGAACACCCTTGAGTTTAGGTATCTAAATGAAAAACCGTGCCAACTTTAAGTGTCTCCATATGTATTCAGCCCATGCTTCTTTTTTTTAAAAATAGTTATGGCATGTTGTCATTACTATCTGACCGAACCCATCAACTTTTTATTGCACCCTTGAATGTTCCATCTAGAAATATTATTATTAACTAAGTTTAACCCCTAAATACATAAATTTAATTATTTGAACCAAGATACATATTTTTTGGTCAAATGATTTGGCACTGTCTATGGGGATTTCTTAGTTAAATTTTTAGTTTCCTCAAGATCTACAACTAACACGGGTCACTTACGTCACAAAACCCAAGATATCCTTTCTTTGTATACACAAAACCCTACATGGCAGGTAACTAAGAAGAAAGGACGAGAATAACAACTGACCTCCCAACCAACCTCATGAACATCACCAACAAGAGCTGTGAAACGACGGGCGAGGATACGACGCCCAGTGCATCCCCTAGGCGAGATGGGTTACCACCCCCACATTGTAGCATAGCAAAACCCCGTGGTAAAGGAGCATCCACGTCTGTAAAGGAAGTGGCACCCCCAGCTGTACGAAAACTCCTAGAGGCATGGCTGACTAATACACTGACGAGCATCCTCCACAGACCCGCTCCAGGCACGACTGTAGAAATCGCAAGGACTTGCACGATATACTAAATAGACAAACAATGCAAACCACCTCTCCCCTCAACAACAGGTATTACTCACAATGTCATTAACAGTGCATGTGACTGATGTCATCCAAGTCACACCCTCTATTTGAGGTAGTGAAACGGTCGATGCAATAGTAATACCCAACTTTGAGTCGGGGTCGAATTCCACATGGAGCTATGAGATTGGGATTAGGAGTATATATTACAGTATATGAGTTTAAACTATCCTAAATTGCACTTCCACAAATTTAGTTGGTTTTATAGTTAAATTGAACTAAGATTGCAACTAAGTAATTGAAACTAAGAAATGATGTTTTTGGTTATTTTTAGAATATTGTAAAAGGACTAGGGTTGTGACCATGACCTAGGTGTTCGCCTAATGGGATAAAGACTTTTATGCTGCTTTGTTGAACGGGGTGTATTATAGCTCACAACACTGCGTTGCCCACTAAATACCTCTCAGTCAGAGAATGGTTTTTCCCAATTTGACTTTCTCAAGACCAAATGGGTATCTACCGAAACGGTTGATAAGAGATCAAGTCGGATTGTTACTATCTCTAGGTTGAACCCTTTAATTGGGTCGATCAATTTCTCAATTGACCCAATTCCTTTTTAGCTAGGTTGACCTAGACTAAGTCTCTCTTTCTCAAGAAGAGACTAAATCAAAAAGTAATAAATCAATGTTTGCAACGATTAATTCACAAATAAAGCATAAACCTAGCTAAATAACAAGCACTCATTCATAAACAAGCATAAAATTAATCACCCATAAGGTTTACACACTATACGT